GTCAATTATCGTTACCTGCTACATTTAACCATAGCTAACTTTAATTGGTAAAAGTTAACAGAGGGTTAACTAAAAACTAAAATTGATTGCTTTAGAATAAAAACAGGATATTAAAGCCAAACAGGACGTTTTTTTACAAAGATTTGTTGTTGTAGTTTGTTTGAATTACAACTTAACCCTCTAGTGCATTAATTTTTTTCGACATGAGAACTATTTTTCTATGATATTTTGGTTTAAAATTCCTTAAAAAAATAATCGAAATTAAAAAAATTGCATAGTTTCCTAAAAAAATGCTATTGAAAAAATTGGAGAACAATCGAAACCATTGTTCAAACTGCTATAAAATTGCTATAAACGAAGAGGGAGATAATTTTTTTTAATATAATTTTCTAATTTGTTGTTTATCAACTTATTATCGATGATATTCGGTGATAATTATAAATCAATGAAAAATTATTTGAATTTACTTATATGGCCTCAAGATTATTTAATGAATATTGATAACCTACTCTCACTTACAGTCGGCTTTCAAGGCGATCGGATTTTGCGAGCGCCATCTCTGAGTCCCAATGCAAACCAAAGAGGAACTCTACACACTTAAATCGAGTCGCGTTCAAATACATTGTCAATATACAACGCAAGTGATACTCGTTGATAACGGCCCTATCGAATTTCGTTGATTCCTTTTAAATACACTTTGAATTAATAAAAATACATTCTATTTATTTTTGAGAAATTTTTTATAATTTTTTTTCAACATTTTAAAAGAGTTCACAAAGCTTATATCATTAAGTACAATTTCGACTAAAGTAGAGATGATGTTGAGATTGTGTTATTAATGTTGTCCGCCTTTGCGTTCAGTTGGTTTTGTAATTTGGTAATTCAATTGCTCGATTGCAATCTGTCCAGTCGACTTAAGCGTGTTCAAGTATATTACTTGATGTAGAAATGAATCTACTTTCACGATGAAATTTGTTGATGTCAATATCAGAACTCTTCAAAAATGTGTATCCATCCGGCTTATGAACTGGATTATGATCAATGGTAAAGTTGAGTTGGTCTTGTGCAAGTGGGAGCATATCTTCTTCAAATTCTTTGATTTGATTGTACGACAAATCCAACGCCGCCAATTTAGTCAATGTTAAAAAGTTCCTTGGTTTGATTTGTGTTAGGCTGTTATGCGATATGCTCAAGTACCTAGCGAAGAAAAGAAATGATAAACAATTCAATAAAATGCACAAAAAAATGTTGAATTACTCAAGCTTTAAAAGTTGTCTAAATGCCATCTCATCGATTTCTTTGATTTTGTTGTGTGACAAGTCCAGATACTTCACATTCATCAGGCTGTTAAAATTATTCGCACTCAATTCGGTGATGAGATTGTGTGATAAGTTTAATTTTTCTAAATTTGATTCGCCAATGAATGACCAATCATCGATTCGAGCGATTTTATTAAAAGAAAAATCGATTTCGATCAATTTTTGCGATTTTAGAAATAAAACTGGTGGAATTTTTTCAATATTATTGTGTGACATTCGTAATTCTTCCAA